GATGTTTCTTCCATATATGATTGGAATATTGATGGCATGTCATAATATTTAATGCATCAAATTTTACATAGAATGTTAATGTATGCATCAATATGTAAAGCTAATTGTAATTCGGATCACACAACTGCTAAATTTATAACAACAAGCTTTACTGACCAATTAAAAAGCTGGTGGGATAATTATTTGAGTTCAATCTAAAGACATGAAATATTAAATGCAGTAAAAATTATAACAGCTGAAGACGGTAGTATAACTACTCAAGAATATGGTGTTTATACTTTAATACAGACAATATTAAAACACTTTATAGGAACAAGCTTGCAAAGCACAAATAAAAATAAATAACTTTTAATAAATTTAAAATGTCCTATTTTAACACATTTTAGGTGATATAAAGATGTATTTTTAGCAAAATTATTATTAAAATCAGACACCAATAATAAATTTTGGAAAGAAAAATTTATATCAAGATTACCTAGTTTATTTGCTGAAAAAATAAGAATTCGTTTAAGAAAAAGACATTGTGGATTTAAAATCCCTTATGAAAATTATACTTATAGATAATTAATTTCGGAATGTATTTCAGAAGGTTTAGCTCTCTGCAACGACTTAAATCTGAAAGCTCAATTAAAAAAGCAGAAATTATATATAGTCTTATTTTAAATTCTTATCCAAATAATATACTATAGGATCATTTGGTAGACGTATTATGAGGGGATTAAATATTGGATTGTACTATTTTTTATTTAATCGGGTCTAATACTTTGTTTGATAAAAAAAATTGATATTGTATTAATTTCAAAAACGTATATTAATCGTATACTTATAGTATATTTTTTATACGATATACTTGTATTATAGAGGTCTTTTAATACCACAAAAAGAGGTGATATTATAATCAAACTAAAATGTATTATTTTACACATTTACTATTATAACTCCCAAGTAATAAAATCAAGCTATGATCAATGTAACAAACACTAATTGAGAGTATTTGTGTTAATTTAACATTAATAGGATGAAATAATTTTCTAACCAAACAACTGATTGAATTAAATAACTATTATTTCATGTTTATGTTGTGTATTCCCAAACAATAGACAAAATTACGTATTATTCTAACACCATCTTGGTTTTTATCAATCTTTATTGTATTAGACTGTATTACTTTATCTAAGAGTAATGCTATTGAGAACTAAAAATCTGACATAAAATACTTACGTAATGATGTGAATGATGATGTGGCCTTGCCATGTCATTAATTTTGCCAACTAAACATTTTTTTTTTGTTCTTAATTAATCCTCGTTCTATACTCTCCTCCCTGTCTCTCCACTGTCCAAACATTCCAAAAGAGCAAAGCCAGCAACACATTCACTGAAAACCTCTACCGGAGAAACCAAGAACCCAGCCGGAAAAGCCAGCAATCTAGTCGTTGGGGATCACAGTATACCGAAAGTGGCTAATTCCAAATATGGCCAAACCGCTATAGAAGATTGGGTCTCATAATAAGGCTCTACTGAATTGGACAACCTAGAAGATGGAAACAATTACGGGTCATGGTTGATAGNACCAAACCGCTATAGAAGATTGGGTCTCATAATAAGGCTCTGCTGAATTGGACAACCCAGAAGATGGAAACAATTACGGGTCATGGTTGATAGCCGAAAACAGGAGAAGGAAACCCACAGAGAAAAAAGGAATGAACAATGAAGGAATTTCCATTCTTTGATTTTAAAGACCCAACACTTTGAAGACCATACACGAAAATGTGTATTTATGAAATTGTTCGGGTGGAACTTGGGAGGGTCTGATTTTAGTGAGGATGTGGTATATCTAATTTTAGTGAGACACATGTAGAAGTTGGATGTGAAAAGGGAAAATAATGGAACTTGGAAGAGGTGGGAGATCAGATGTCCTCAAAGTGTTCGACAAATTGTCTCACAGAAGTTTACTTTGAGTTTATAGTTAAGATGATTGTACCAGCTTGTGCTTTCTCTACTATTGGGTCTATTTGTTAGTTTTGTCCTCAGCTTAGCCGTGCACAGCCATCCATGGCCTAACCAGGTCTTGGACCACAACTGGGACAACCAGCTTCTTGTGTTCTCACTGCTTTGTGTAATATACATTGGCCAAATAATGTATTGAACTCACTATTTTCTGTCATGTTTGTACTGTTATAATAGAGGTGTAAAAGTGTTTGTTATTTGGATTGATGGAGTTGATGTTTTTGCCTAACAGAGGAGTTGTTCTCCAATTTGTACACAAATGTCCTGCCATGGCTTTCCTTGGTATTTCCAATCATGTAAAAGCCTACGATCAAATAAAATCAAACCATAGTAATAGGATACACAACTGATGAGTAAAGAACATGATCGAGCTACAGATGCAGACACGTTTCAGCAATTCATGACGAGCCAACTGTCACAAAAAAAAAAAGATTAAGCATTCTTATTATTACAAGAGAAAAGACAAAAAGTTGGTCTGTCATCTTCAATTTTAGCTCTTGCAATATACAACCACCATCTCCAACCAGCAATCCAGCTCCATTGCGTCCAGTCATCAGCTTCATTCATACCAGCACACCATATCTGAGCACAGACTGCTCCACATAGCAGAACACAATTGCTCAACGTACTGCAGCACAGCAGACTGCTACAGCATAGCAGAAACTGCCTGCATCACAAAAAAGCTCAGCCTTTATCATCAAAAATAACCATCGTCTTCTTGCGTACAATCAGCAAACCTATCTGATCTTACATAAGCCTCCATTTCACTAAACTGGGCAAAGTAGCAGAAACAGATGAAAAGCCATCATCCATTGCTCTGTTAGCTAGACTGTCAACCACAAAATTGGTTTCTCTATTTATGTGCCTTATCTAGATATCAAATTTACCAAACCTCAGCCATAAAAGACCACAGAAACCAAGCACAATCAAATTTACCTAACACAGATTCAACAAGAACTAACGAATTTGATTCAATAGAAATTTTATAACCACATAAACCATGTTCCTCCATCATATTTAGCCCATCAAGAAGAGCTTTAAACTTAGCCTCCATATTGGTACAAGCACCATAGAAAAAAGAGGCAGCAAGCACCATTCTTCCCAACTCATTCCTCAGCACAACCCCCCCACCTGCAGGGCCTAGATTGCCTCTAGAAGCACCATCCATATTAAGCTTCAAATAACCTGCAGCTGGAAAATCCCAACAAACCCATAAAGCTTTATAACCAACCTGATAAGAGCTATCAATACCAAGCTGTTGTAGAACCATACAACCAATACCATTCTCCTTAACCCTAGGTCTGATATTTTTGACTTGGTAACTCAAAATACTGCATATTTTGATGAAAATAGAATATGAATGCAATAACCCTTCTCCATACCTCCTTCTACGCCTTTCCTGCCAGATTTGCCAATAAATGAGCAAAGGAATGCTCTTAATCAAACCAAGTCGAACTGATCTTTTTTTAAAAACCTTGCACAGTCTCCTTATTCTAACTAGTGGATGCTCATTACAAACTAGCTGAATACCAAANTATGTTGTGTATTCCCAAACAATAGACAAAATTACGTATTATTCTAACACCATCTTGGTTTTTATCAATCTTTATTGTATTAGACTGTATTACTTTATCTAAGAGTAATGCTATTGAGAACTAAAAATCTGACATAAAATACTTACGTAATGATGTGAATGATGATGTGGCCTTGCCATGTCATTAATTTTGCCAACTAAACATTTTTTTTTTGTTCTTAATTAATCCTCGTTCTATACTCTCCTCCCTGTCTCTCCACTGTCCAAACATTCCAAAAGAGCAAAGCCAGCAACACATTCACTGAAAACCTCTACCGGAGAAACCAAGAACCCAGCCGGAAAAGCCAGCAATCTAGTCGTTGGGGATCACAGTATACCGAAAGTGGCTAATTCCAAATATGGCCAAACCGCTATAGAAGATTGGGTCTCATAATAAGGCTCTACTGAATTGGACAACCTAGAAGATGGAAACAATTACGGGTCATGGTTGATAGCCGAAAACAGGAGAAGGAAACCCACAGAGAAAAAAGGAATGAACAATGAAGGAATTTCCATTCTTTGATTTTAAAGACCCAACACTTTGAAGACCATACACGAAAATGTGTATTTATGAAATTGTTCGGGTGGAACTTGGGAGGGTCTGATTTTAGTGAGGATGTGGTATATCTAATTTTAGTGAGACACATGTAGAAGTTGGATGTGAAAAGGGAAAATAATGGAACTTGGAAGAGGTGGGAGATCAGATGTCCTCAAAGTGTTCGACAAATTGTCTCACAGAAGTTTACTTTGAGTTTATAGTTAAGATGATTGTACCAGCTTGTGCTTTCTCTACTATTGGGTCTATTTGTTAGTTTTGTCCTCAGCTTAGCCGTGCACAGCCATCCATGGCCTAACCAGGTCTTGGACCACAACTGGGACAACCAGCTTCTTGTGTTCTCACTGCTTTGTGTAATATACATTGGCCAAATAATGTATTGAACTCACTATTTTCTGTCATGTTTGTACTGTTATAATAGAGGTGTAAAAGTGTTTGTTATTTGGATTGATGGAGTTGATGTTTTTGCCTAACAGAGGAGTTGTTCTCCAATTTGTACACAAATGTCCTGCCATGGCTTTCCTTGGTATTTCCAATCATGTAAAAGCCTACGATCAAATAAAATCAAACCATAGTAATAGGATACACAACTGATGAGTAAAGAACATGATCGAGCTACAGATGCAGACACGTTTCAGCAATTCATGACGAGCCAACTGTCACAAAAAAAAAAAGATTAAGCATTCTTATTATTACAAGAGAAAAGACAAAAAGTTGGTCTGTCATCTTCAATTTTAGCTCTTGCAATATACAACCACCATCTCCAACCAGCAATCCAGCTCCATTGCGTCCAGTCATCAGCTTCATTCATACCAGCACACCATATCTGAGCACAGACTGCTCCACATAGCAGAACACAATTGCTCAACGTACTGCAGCACAGCAGACTGCTACAGCATAGCAGAAACTGCCTGCATCACAAAAAAGCTCAGCCTTTATCATCAAAAATAACCATCGTCTTCTTGCGTACAATCAGCAAACCTATCTGATCTTACATAAGCCTCCATTTCACTAAACTGGGCAAAGTAGCAGAAACAGATGAAAAGCCATCATCCATTGCTCTGTTAGCTAGACTGTCAACCACAAAATTGGTTTCTCTATTTATGTGCCTTATCTAGATATCAAATTTACCAAACCTCAGCCATAAAAGACCACAGAAACCAAGCACAATCAAATTTACCTAACACAGATTCAACAAGAACTAACGAATTTGATTCAATAGAAATTTTATAACCACATAAACCATGTTCCTCCATCAATTTTAGCCCATCAAGAAGAGCTTTAAACTTAGCCTCCATATTGGTACAAGCACCATAGAAAAAAGAGGCAGCAAGCACCATTCTTCCCAACTCATTCCTCAGCACAACCCCCCCACCTGCAGGGCCTAGATTGCCTCTAGAAGCACCATCCATATTAAGCTTCAAATAACCTGCAGCTGGAAAATCCCAACAAACCCATAAAGCTTTATAACCAACCTGATAAGAGCTATCAATACCAAGCTGTTGTAGAACCATACAACCAATACCATTCTCCTTAACCCTAGGTCTGATATTTTTGACTTGGTAACTCAAAATACTGCATATTTTGATGAAAATAGAATATGAATGCAATAACCCTTCTCCATACCTCCTTCTACGCCTTTCCTGCCAGATTTGCCAATAAATGAGCAAAGGAATGCTCCTAATCAAACCAAGTCGAACTGATCTTTTTTTAAAAACCTTGCACAGTCTCCTTATTCTAACTAGTGGATGCTCATTACAAACTAGCTGAATACCAAATAGGCCAGCCAATATTCTCCAAATTGCATCAGCATATTCACATCCCACAAATAAATGCTCCATACACTCCTCCTCCTTAAAACAGATANAATAGGCCAGCCAATATTCTCCAAATTGCATCAGCATATTCACATCCCACAAATAAAAATGCTCCATACACTCCTCCTCCTTAAAACAGAAGCTGCACCTGCTTACCATGGAAAAACCCAACCTCTGAATTCTAGAATCCAAAGGCAATGCCTCTATAAGCATTTTCCACCTTACCAATTGTGCACTAGGAGCTGTAGACAACGCCCAGATGATTGAAGCAGACTCATTAGCTTCCTCTTGCTGCCTAACCAAATTCCAATTAGACTTGGTTGAAAACAAACCAGAATTTGACTCCTGCTATACCAACTTATCAGTCTGTTCAGTTAACCTCAAACCTGAGTTCAGAATTTCTTCTTTGAGCTGCTCAGATAAAAGGTTAACCACAACTCCTAACTGCCACTGAGAGCTTGCAATCAATTCAGCCACTTTAGGAAAGAACTGAGGCAGCACCTCATTTCTTCCCAACAGAGGACCTCTCTTCAACCAGTATCGCACCAGAAATATGTTTGTTCCCCATTACCAATCACCACCTTAGAATGCAACACCACAATATCAAAAAAAGGCTTTAATACCTCTAGGCAGGCAGAATGACTGTTACCTCTACATCTCGTAATATGCCTTCCTCTTAAGAATTTAGCAGAGAATACCTTAGCCCACAATGAGTCCCCTTTCAACATATTCCAAACTTGTTTCAACCTCAAAGCCTTCTGCACATCCTCAAATCTTCTCAAACCCAATCCACCCTCATGCTTAGGCTAGGCTAACCTCTTCCAAGACACCCAATGCCTCCTTTTCTCATCCATTTTTATTAGACCAAATGAATACAACAATGAATGAATTCAATTTATTAATCACCCCCTTAGGCAGATTTAGACAAGCTAACAAATGAACAGGAACTGCACATAAAGCAGACTACACCAACAAAACTCTGCCCATATTTGACAAGAGTCTAGCATACCATCCCTCCATCTTCTTTTTGAACTTCACTAGCAGACTCTCAAAATACCTCAGCCTAATTCTTCCAGCAATAATTGGACAGCCCAAATACACAAAAAGACATTGTTTAAAGGAAATGCCAACAATACCAGCCAGTATATTCCTACTAACAAGAGAAATGTGCTTTGATCCAAACATAGAAATTTTCTCTAGACTTACCTTCTACCCAGAGCTTCCTTCATAGAGTTTAAGAAAACACATCAAATTCTCAAGAGACCTTTTATCCCGCCCCAAGAAGATGAGAGTATCATCTGCAAAAAGCAGATGACTAATTAACACTGTACCCTTGCCCAAATGATATCCCTTCACTAAATCAACCTCAAATATCCTTCTCAAACCTCTACTTAGAATCTCCTTAGCAAGAATGAAAAGACAAGGGGACAAAAAATCCCCTTGCCATAAACCCCTAGAAGCAGGGAAGAAACCTTTCCTTACCCCATTTACACATACAAAAAAATATTACTGAGCTAAACAATTAGAAATAAGCTTCACAAACAATTCACAGAAACCAAACTTTGATAAGGCTTTGAGCAAAAAATTCCATTCCAGCCTATCATAGGCTTTCATCATGTCTAATTTCAGCACCAAATTCCCTGCCTCCACCTTTCTATCCAAATTCTTTATAAGCAGCTGAGCCAAAGACACACATTCCCCAATACTTCTTCGCCTCACAAACCCATGCTACTCCAATGAAATTATAGAAGGTAAAACAGGTCCTAACCTCAAGGCCAACAGTTTAGTAAAAATTTTATAAAGGAAATTACATAAACTAATTAGCCTAAAGTCAGAGAAAGACACAGGGTTCTTGTCGACAGCCAGCAGTTGCCGGACTAGCCTTTTGAAGCTTTCTCGCTTCCTCCTAAAGGGGAACCACTAAATCAAAGGCTTTACGACTTTTCTGTTATTACTAATCCTTCCCTTCTTTCTAGGCCTGGACTAATGCTTCCTTATGTCATTAGCTTCAACTTCTTAGGAATAAGGACCAATAAAGTTGCATTAGCAGACCTAGGCATTTCTCCACCTTTAAGAAAGAAATTCCCTGCACCAACGACATCTTCTTTAATAATATCCCAAGCTACTTGAAAAAAATTTCCTGAAATACCATCCACACTATGAGCACTTTGAGCAGACATAGAAAAAACCACCTCCCTCACTCCCATCACAGATGCCTCCCTAGTAAGCATTTCATTCATCTCAGGACTTACCAAAGAAGGGATTACAGAAAACAATTCCTCGCTTAACTCATGCTGCTCTCACTGATAAAGATCAGCAAAAAAACTAATTGCCCCTTCTCCAATTTCCTCCTCAGTCTGCACCCACACACCTGCAACATTTTGAATTCTCTGAATCCTGTTCCTTATTGCTTTCCCCTTTGCCAATGCATGATAAAATTTAGTATTTTCTCACCTTCTACAACCCATTTAACATTAGCTTTCTGTTTCCAATAAACCTCTTCCAACCTCAAAACTTCATCAAGCTCCTTCTGCACCTTCTCAAGAGCCAAAATATTTGTTGCAGAATCATCCTGCTCTACCACCATCTTAGCCCTCTGCAACTCATCCTCCTTATTCCTTATTCTCTCAAAAATGTTACCAAAAACCTCCTTATTCCATTTTTTCAAATGAAATTTCAAATATTTCAACTTCAAAAAAAGATTCTCAATGAGGTTATTAGAATACTGTCCTCCCTAATTAGTAGCAACAAGAGACAAAAACCCAACATTCTCCACCCACATATCTTGAAATTTAAAATAAGATATTCTCTGCTGAGAAAGACAAGACAATTGAATGAGCAAAGGTGAATGATCAGATCTACCTCTCCCCAAGTGCCTCACCTCTGTCTTCTCAAAAACAAATTCCATGAAGCATTAAGAATAGCCCTATCAAGTCTTTGCCACATCCTAGCACCACCCTGTTGGTTATTACACCAAGTATATCTACTACCCACAAACCCATCATCTAACAACCCAACAGTATGAACAAAATCCCCAAACTCCTCCATAGAAACAAAGGAAGGATAAGCCCCTCCTAACCTTTCCTCAGAATTCAGAATAGCATTAAAATCCCCTACTACCAGCCAAGGCACAGAAGATAGCACAAGAAAATCTAACAAGTAGTGCCATAAAGATCTTCTAATCAAGTGATCACAACTAGCATACACAACAGAAATATTTACACACCCTGACCCCAAATAGGATACTTCAACAGTTAACACCTGCTCATGCTGCCCAATCACCTTAACTGACACTCTATTGTCCCATAACAACCAAATATGTTTTTCTGCTAAATCATTACACATAAAATGAGAAAGGCCAATCCCAGAAGCAAAACCAGCCAATCTATTTCTGCCTGGCTTAGGCTCCAAAATAGCCACCAAACATACATCATTAATCCTAACAAGCTTATTTAATCTCCTCCTTTGAAAGGCTTTCCTATCCGCTCTCATATTCCAAGATAAGAAATTAATCATCGAAATTGGGAAGAAAAATTACCTCCAGATCTACGTCTGGTAGAAGCCTCCACCGAATAAGAAACCTTCAGGCTACCTTCAGATTCATCTGAAAAACCATCCTTCTGCTGAGCCCTTCTTACTCTTACAGTACTTTGCAGAGCATCCACATCAGAAGAGTATCCTTTATCAGGAGGATCAGTCCTTCTTATTAAACCAAGCTCATCATCCAACGAGAAACCAGATCCTCTCCTATTGACAAAATTATGTTCAATGTAAAAAGAACCATTCTCAGATGGAAAATCCTGCTTATCAGCCTGCTTCTCTTTAGAAAACTCACTAAACCTCCTCCTCATTCTCCAATTCAGGAACATCTTCCTGAATCTTCTCCACCTCAGCACTCATATCCCCTAAANAGAACCATTCTCAGATGGAAAATCCTGCTTATCAGCCTGCTTCTCTTTAGAAAACTCCCTAAACCTCCTCCTCATTCTCCAATTCAGGAACATCTTCCTGAATCTTCTCCACCTCAGCACTCATATCCCCTAAAATGGAATCCTCCACAACCTGATCCTCCAACTCACCTACAACCTCATGCACATAATTTATCTCTTGCACAAAGCATTCCCCAGTTTCCAAAACAGGGGTTGGATCCTACACCTTTTCAAGCACATCAAACTTATTGCCAACTACCACCATCGGCACCATAGATTTTTGTTTGAACTCCTTTTTTCTTCTATTCTTCTGCACTTCAAACATAGCACCCTTCCCTTTCTCCATCTTCCCACCACCATCTTGCTCCTTAGCGGACAACCTCCCATCTTTTTGGATACCATCACCCTCACCTCCTTCCTTCTTCTTTTTTCGACATAGCAAAACATCATGACCTTGTTTTAAACAAGTCGCACAATACTTCATATCCTTTTCAAACATAATCTTCTGCCACCTACCACTTACCCCTCCCATGTCTAACCAAAACCTCCTTGGATTTTTATTCAACAGATTAACTTCCACACAAGTTCTGGCCACACCTGGCCTGCTCAGATGTAGCATAGCCTTGTCAATTGCCAAAATTTGACCAATGGGACTTTAAGATATCCCTTAAACTCTCTTTGTTAAAGAGATGAATAGGAAGTCCTGGGAGCGCAATCCACACAGGAACTATAGGAGGTTCAATCCCAGGAAGGAACTCTGGGAATCATTTGAAGAATCGAAAGAGGAAGCCTTCAATATATGTTGCATCCTTCAGCCAAGTATTCACGAAATCCTCATATAACTCAAATCAGATCAAAATATGTCTAGGATCCAAGATTCTAACATGGAATTCACCTTTAGGCATCCATCTAGTAACAATGAATTCGCGAATCACTCCCAGAAATGGCTTCCCGTACACACATTTCTTAATCAAAGTCTGTTGAAATTTGGAAGACAAATCTTGCATTTTTTCATGCGTCCAATTCATCCCAGGCTCTTTGTTGTTGTAGACAATTCTTTTTGCAAGCTTCATATAGACAACAATGGATTCTCAGAAGAAGATCCAAGAGTAGGCATAACGTGAGCACCAGATCCAGAGTCACCATCTAACTTCCTTTCACAAACAATTGAAGGTATTTGATTGACCAAAGTTACACAAACAGATGAATTACCTTGACCAGTCGAAGTCAATCGAACAATCGAAGGGATTTGGGTTATCGATGGAATTTGAGTGATTGAAGGGATTTCTAGAAAAGACAAACTACAAGGAGGCATTACAAGATTATTCTCACAATCAGAACGATTCACAATAGATCCACAACCAATTCCAGTCCCAATCCATCCATTTTTGAGATTTTTAACAAATTCAAAATTTTTGAGGGTTTCCTGAAAGAAGAAACAAAAGTACGTCTAATGTCAGGCGGTTTGGGTGGAATTTGCTGATTTAATTGAGCAGAAACCATGCTTAATTCCCAGAATCAATCTACAAAAGTAATAGAATCAAAAGGAATTCAAGAAATCAAAGGATGAAATTCTAGAGAGAAGTCAGAGCTTCTCTCTCTAGAACAGACCAAAATGCTACCATCAGTCGGAATCGATAGTTTTACCATCAAATGTTTTCCATTTATGTTGAAAATTTTCAATCATATTTAATTGATCCATGGTAAGTGGAGCATAATATACTAAAAATCAGTTAATAAAAGGAATTATTCTTTTTTCCCTTTCAAACATAATATGCTACTCATGAAAACAAATTCCAAAATTTTCATAGGAGAAAATCAGATTGAGGATTAACTCGATGGTCATATATGAAAAATGAGAATGAAGAAAAATAGGAAAAATTCTCCTTTGAGTTTGTTCCAAGCTGCCTCAAGTCCATTGGTGAGTTGCCCGAACATCTTAGTTCTAACCGCACTGCACATTTCTCTTTTAACCGTAACAATGCTCTTGGAGTTGATCACTCAACATACATCTCTTTACAACAAAAACAATCGTAACGATGAAAAAAAAGGAGGTTAAAGTAAAAGCTACGAAAGGCTGNTGTTCCAAGCTGCCTCAAGTCCATTGGTGAGTTGCCCGAACATCTTAGTTCTAACCGCACTGCACATTTCTCTTTTAACCGTAACAATGCTCTTGGAGTTGATCACTCAACATACATCTCTTTACAACAAAAAAAATCGTAACGATGAAAAAAAAGGAGGTTAAAGTAAAAGCTACGAAAGGCTATGCAAAATGGTACAAGAAGTATACCTTGAATTCAACAACTCCAGCAATCGAACTCACAAAATCAGGCAATTGAACTCAATAACTCCGGCAATCAAACTCGACAAATTTGGCAGAAATCGTCCACTTCATTATACCAACTTTGATCTATGAACAAAGAAAAATACATATTGATAGGTCAAGCCAAAATAACCCAATTTATGTAGAAAGCTCAATCTCAATTAAAGAGCCCAACCTTATAAGGATCCACGAAATCCAGTCAAACTTATCAGCTTGGCTACGTCATCAAGAGAGAGAGAATGAGAGCCTTAACTACACCGCCGAGGAAATAGTCCACCCTTACCTCATCCTTGACCACATCTCATGGAGAGCATCTTAACCGCCTCGTCCATTGAGAAAAAGTCATGAGCTCCACCAAAATAGTTGCTTAGTTGCGGTAAAGTAGCCCCAACCTGTTAGGGGGCCACTATAAATTGCACACGCCACCAACACTTGGAGGGCATCACACTTTTACCTGAGCATGACTCTCCTCCCCCTCTCCAAAGCTTGTACTCACTGCTCCCTACACCCTTGAATTAATAAAGTACCAGGTGATCAAGGCCATTCAAAAATGGACATAGGTCATATTGACCGAACTACTATAAATCTCGTTTCATCCAACTCTCTTTACTTTTAATTACTGCATTTATTTTCAATCACTTGACAGGTGGTGTGCAAAGTCATTTTGTGCATCATCAATTTGACGTCGTCTGTGGGAAAACAACAAAATTTTCACTTCTAAACATTTTATTTGCTGAACCAATGGCGATCACTACCAGATTCATGAACCAAACTGAAGACAATCGTCCACGAGAGGAGGAGATTGCTCCTCCACATACCAACCCTATCCTNCAGGTGGTGTGCAAAGTCATTTTGTGCATCATCAATTTGACGTCGTCTGTGGGAAAGCAACAAAATTTTCACTTCTAAACATTTTATTTGCTGAACCAATGGAGATCACTACCAGATTCATGAACCAAACTANGTCGTCTGTGGGAAAGCAACAAAATTTTCACTTCTAAACATTTTATTTGCTGAACCAATGGAGATCACTACCAGATTCATGAACCAAACTAAAGACAATCGTCCACGAGAGGAGGAGATTGCTCCTCCACATACCAACCCTATCCTAGATGCTCCAGCTCCAAAGTCATAGCAAATGTTGGAGACCATGCAGCAGCTGGTGGCCCAAAACCAGTAGATAGTACAACTCATGCTTGTCGGACGAGGAAGAGCACAACTTGGAGGAGCACAGCTTGGAGGACCTCAAGGAGTTCCACGCCCTGGACATCAAGGAGCTCCACACCCTGCTGTTTTACACCTAGGCACCCATGCAGGGCTGGGTGCCCCCTTTAGAGTCCCCTTGGGCACCCCACATAGGGGAGCCCATCATGAGGGATTTTTACCTCCTCCTCTTCCTCCTATTTCCCATGGTGAAGATCCTCGTCTACAAGAGGGTGAGGGCGAGAACCAAAGCTTAGAGCATGAGAGTCATTTTCATGATCATTCCAGAGGAGGCCCCAATCATTGGGACGAGAAAATTAAGGAATTACATAATCAACTGAGCGACGTCTTCAATGCCATGAAGGAACAGGGACTTCAGACAGTGGACTACCTGGTAAGGCGGACAGACACTCCTTTTAAACTTGACGTGGCAAACTACCCCCTCCCTCAAAAATTCAAAATGCCATCCGTAGAGACTTTTTATGGAACGAAGGATCCACTAGACCACCTTGACACCTACAAAATCTTGATGCAGTTGCACAATGTCCCAGACGAAATCATGTGAAGGGCGTTTCCAACCACCTTGAAGGGATCCACACGACAATGGTTTGCTAAACTCTCCCTAGCCTCCTTTGCTAAATTGAGCAGATTGTTCGTATCACATTTCATTGGAGGGTGTCGCCACCAGAAGCCTGCCACCCACCTGTTTAGCATAAAGCAGGACTGAGAGGATAGCCTGAGGAACTACCTCATTCGTTTTAACGAGGAGGTACTCCAAGTTGATGAGCTTGATGACAAAGTGACTATGACTGCCTTCTTAGGAGGCCTCCGCTCCTCAAGCTTCCTTTTTTCAGTGATGAAGCGCCCACCAAAAAGTATGCCGGAGCTACTAGCAAAGGCCCAGAAATACATGAACGCTGAGGACATCACAAGGGTCAGGCAAGGTGAGTCTTCCAAAACTAGGAAAAAAGGAAGGAAAGAGAGAGGGACGACAAGAAGGAGACTAGCAACAAGCGCAGCAGAACAGAGAGGGTTCCCGTCAAAGACCGGCTAGGTCCTACTCCTTAGAGGAACCGACAAGCCTTCACTCCCCTCAATGCTGCNAAATACATGAACGCTGAGGACATCACAAGGGTCAGGCAAGGTGAGTCTTCCAAAACTGGGAAAAAAAGGAAGGAAAGAGAGAGGGACGACAAGAAGGAGACTAGCAACAAGCGCATCAGAACAGAGAGGGTTCCCGTCAAAGACCGGCTAGGTCCTACTCCTTAGAGGGACCGACAAGTCTTCACTCCCCTCAATGCTGTTGCTGGGCAAATCCTATTCCAGATTCAAGATGACCCCCGCGATAAAATGGCCGGTGAAGATGAAGTCTCCTCCAAATCGTAGAAATTCTAACAAGTATTGCCGCTTCTACCGTGACCACGGGCATGACACCGATGATTGCTATGACCTCAAAAGACAAATTGAGGAGTTTATCCAACGCGGTCACCTAAGCCAATATGTTGCTAGTAGGGAATGAGCACCACCACCTCACAATCAAGGAGATCAGCAACCCATTGGGGAGATCCACACCATCTCGGGAGGACTAGCAGGAGGTGGAGAATCACTCTCTGCAATAAAGGCCTACGCCAGAAAGGCGAGACACTTCGACGAGTTGCGCCTATCCAAGGCATCAAAGCAGGGAGATAGTGAGGTCATATCTTTTTCAGATAAGGACTTGAAAAGAATCCAGCACCCCCATGACGACCCCCTAGTGCTCACCATGACTGTGGCCAATTTTCAGGTACGCAGGATCTTGGTGGATATCGGCAGCTTTGTGGATATTCTATTCACAGAGGTTTATGACAAACTCAACTTGGGTAGGGAGAGACTGCAGCCTATCAGATCACCCTTCATTGGGTTCTTAGAGGAGAAGGTGTATCCCCTAGGTTCCATTACCCTGCCTGTCACAGCCGGAGCAGCACCTTGAAGCTCCACAGTCATGGTCAATTTCTTGGTAATAGACT